AAGATGCTCCCTTAAAGTGTGTTGCTGTTGTGTTTTCAGGTGGGGAATTCCAGTAAAATAATTTATTGACACTGTAGTTAAATTGAAGTCCCCTGGTGTCACAGCCCATATCCGCACCAGCTAACAGGATTGCTCTCGGGTCATCATTTCCTCTTGGCTTTTGGGCTGTGACCCATTCAACAATTCAGCTGTGGACTAAATCCCACCATGACTCCTGGTTGATGTAAACGTTGACCACAGTTCTAACAGGCTACCAGACTGGGTTGTACGCCTCAGACTTTTGATTTGACTGAGGTAAAGCCATAATTGGGTCAGCTGACATATTGAAAAGCAATTGGTTGTCAGGGTCGTCCAACCACCAGTAGGGGGCATGCATCCTCCAGGACTGCCGATAGTCAAGGCTGATCAGTACATCCTCACTCATGCTTGATCTCACCTTGGACAATGACTGTCAGTGCTGCTAGTCCATCCTGCACACTATTGAATGGACAGATGCAGCTTTTCCTGGCTAGAATCTCTGTATCTCTCACACACAAGCACACACACCCTCCCCTAGTCCTGTATGTCCCCTGATGTCTGCATGAAGTATGAAGCTTGGGCTGCAGTGTTTAGTAATTCCATGTCATTTCATGTCACAAGCCAACAAAGAGTTCTGTATCTGTATCATGGCCCATACACAGTGGGCTTAGATTAGATGTGGGTGCAAGAGGTGGGTCCAGTAAAGTGTGGAGGTGTGGCTTAGCAATTTATAAAATAATTAGTGCCTATGATTTAATCCAGTTACGAGGGTTTTTTTGAATGTGCTTTTTGTTGGTGCCAACCACTTTTATTTGCCAATATATTTATGTAGGGTCTGCTGACCCCAGTATTGCTTGAAGTTTCCACATTTCTCAGCAAATAGTCTTTTCAGGTTTCTTTTAAAAATTGCATTAAAGGGCGCATACAGTTATTGGAGAAACACTGGGAATGTCCTTGATTGGACATGCTCTATGCTTGTCAGTGGCCTGTCCAAACAGTCATTTGCCCTGGGTTTACAGCTGCATGTTCACTGTTTTCAGGCATCAAAGAGAATGTCAGTTACCAGTTACACATACATGTTGAATTGTTTTATTTTACTATTTATCAGAAAACCACTGTATTTGCCCTTTAATGATACCTAAAAGTACTCCTAAAAAGTATGTAGAATATGCGCCTTGGTATTTAAAAGTGAATAATCTGTAAGAAAGACTATTTATTGATGAGACGGCACCCATCATCAGTCAGCCTTTAACTCAGCTGGTTGTCAGGGCGATTGTTGCTAAGGCAGTTGATGCTAGGGGACAAACATTGCCATTTTGTGTGATTGTTTGTTTACAGACTTTTATATCGTCACAGACATTGTTTCCCCATATAAAATCACAATTAAAATAAAAATTCAGCTGCAACTGCCCTTTGCTGTGTTTCTGTAATTTTATTGTGCAACGTCATGCACAAAGCTTTTAAGTGTCACACATATTACATGAGTTAGAATTACTCAGTTATATTTAGTTTCAGTCAGTTCAAAAGTCATTAAGGAGAAATATAACGGGTAATTGTTATAATAGGGAGTGGATATTTAAAAATAGTTGCACCAAAACTTGCCTGGGTTCTGGAGCTATTCCAGGTGGCAAAAGGCACCAAGATAGAGTACAACCTAGCTGGAAAAATGGTACGATGCTGCCATCTGCTGACGACAAAGCTAATTGTAGCTATGACTTGCACTTTCACGCATAACAGTTCGTTTGTGTCGGAATAAAACCGGGTTTATGTGGTAATAAAGGTTTTGCTTAGAGAATGGTAAATTCAGATTTTATACTTAGTACTTACATTCAAGCTCTAAACAGTTTAAGCACTAACAACATACATCAACAAAGTAAATGTTTAATAGGCTATAGCATTATTACGTAACATTGGTAGGATTTAATTAAAACCCGCGTTTAAATTACTCCAGTTGTGGTGGCAGAATTAATCAGTCAGCAGGATAATCAAGCCCAGCTAAGGTGGCAAATAGGACGTGACTCAGCCGCAAAATGAGCTCTGTGGTACTTCAGCCAGAATGCTGAATCACTCCAGCTTTCACATTTTACCAGTTTAGTTACGCAATTAACCGCGCATCTGGGGCTTCCAAAGAACACATCAAGTAACTCATACCTAAATAAATGTAATCAAATACATCGTAGGATCTTCTAACCACTTCTTCTGATCTGCTTCACGTGGGAGCAAAGGCAGCATAGAGTACAAGGCTGAGGTACCCCCCCCCCCACCCGCGCGCACAGAATGGTAGTCGCGGGGTACATGCACAATCGTACCTTATGGGCAACTCAGAACGTGTCTCTGTGTTAAAAATCACTTCAACTACATTAAGATATTAATACGCTTCATCCTCAGGCAGGAGATTTTAACCCCCAAACCTGAAGGTTTGAGGCATCGGTGCAGAGGTGGAGATTTCAGGTCTAGAGAATACAAATTAAAGACCAAGATTTTGTTTCAACCAACCAGTTGAGTACTCTATAGGCGTATTTCGCTATGTCCAGCTGGAAGGTGGTGAATGTATTCACAGTATTTATTATTACCGCATAACAATAAAATCAGGAAACTTTTATGTATCTTTATTCCTAAGCCTTTACTCAATGGTTGTATATTAACCAAATTAAGCATAAGTATCCTTCTCAGGGATACAACGCCGTGGGGTCTGTTTCAGGCTTACGATTGAAAACTTGAAAATGTAATCTATCGGATTCATGGGCGTCGCTGGGTCTGATCACTCGGGGCTATAGTCCCGACTATTAAATTTAAGCCTATCCCCGGGTGTTTTAGCCCCGATGCCAATCTTCCTTCAAAAAAAGGTCCAGCCTCAGGTACAATTCACTAAGCCCCTGTTCTGGCCAATAGCTAGAAATGGGTTTCTACACAATTTTATAATTCAAAATGAAATAATCACAGGATATTTTAAATCAACAACCACCGGGAAAACGAGCATAATACAAGCACGTGATAAGCGAAAAGCCGAAAAATAAAAACCATAAACACATCACCTCAAATGAACCACGCGATCACATTTTCTGCGATGCTTGAATGTTACTTCACAAAACGTCAACACACATTGTGAATTTGGTATCACATAGCACTACTCGTAATCGGTGGCTATTTCACCAAAAATGAATCCGATCCGGGGTTATTCTGAATTTCCAGCGTCCTCGAAAATTTTCAGATTTAAAGTTTCCTTCATGAGGGGCTTCTTATGCTTCCTACCAGAGAAATTCAGATGTTGAAACGTTCTGTAATCGCGCACCATCGCGTAATGACTTGCACCCTGTTTAGACGGAAATGTAAATCATCCTGTGCAAGAGTGCCTGTTAATTGTATGGTACAGAAGACATTGGAAGGCTCCTGAGCCAAACGGACCATTGCATGCAGACTCCCAGCCCTGTCGGGAGCATTAAGTTGTCGTTTGGAGTAAAACAGCCTTTTACAATACCTCGACTTAAGCTGTTCCGTATGGGCAGCGTGCACTCAGCGAAAACTAATGCTTCTCTGGTAAGGAAAGGTCTCGATCAAGAAGCGCTTTAAAAATCCCTTCCTGCGTTACAGAGTTGATGACCGTCTTACACGTGCATGGTCGAAAAGGTGTGACTACACGAATTTTGAATTCGTCTATGTAAACAGCTGGCCTAAGTAACATATGGCGAATTGTACGCTGTTCTAGTTCGACGGAGTCCATCCTATCGCGAAGGGGTAGAATCCTTTCAGTAAGGAGAGTGACAGACTCTTGACTGACGTTTGCCGTCTCTTTCGAGAGCTTTTTTGACGTGACAAAGCTCATATCGACTACTAGCGAAAGAACGGTGCAAAAGCACCACAGTGCCGACCGACCACACGTCTTTTACAAATTTATTTTACGCAAAAGGGATACATTTTATTAAGAGTGCCAGAAACGTACCTCTTCCGTACAACAAAAACAATACGACTTAGGCTACTAGTTAATCTGAATGTTGCGGATGCACCGATAAACTCCCAAACCCGCGCAATGACATGCAGAAGAGTCCAGTCCAGAAGCCGACGTCCGGAGTGAGCGTCAGGAAAACGACAGTCCTGTATCCGGGCTGTTTTAAATCCACCTCTCTTATTTATTCGCAGATAGTTTAAGAAAATACATTGTTCATTTTTTATATATAAATTCACTATGCGCGGTACATCAGTCGGACTGACGAGGGTCATTTCTAAATTGCGGAGGTGATTGTTGGCACAAGCTGCAAATTCTAGGTCAAAACAGGTAAATTAGTAGAAAGGAGGCAATCTAAACGGGATTATGCGTTACCAGAACACAAGTATAAAAACACAAACACTTGCTTCGTGCATCACGTACACAATTTAATTCCACGTAACTGGAGAGAGCTTAGGGCATATATGCGTGTTGGCTTTTAATAGCATTAGCATTGCAACATTTTAAAAAAGGCATGCATCGCTGATGAAATCCAATTAAAACAAATATAGCATTTAAAATTATAATAATTTTTTTTATGTAAACGGCACGCTATCTGATGAAAGGATGCTAAGTGTCATTAGGGCGATTACTCGTGAACTCTGACACCCACCAGGCCTGACAATCACCGGGGAAATAACCTAGCCGGCAATTTCAGCATCATTCACATTGCAGCGATTGCCTACCCGATACGCACTGTCTGGACAGTCAATGAAACACTATACCCCAAAATACCTGGCAAGCGCCTGAATGGAGACAACGATATATACTTGATACTATTCAATCAGAATCGGGTGTTTCTTTAAATTTTTTATTAAGTGCACAATTCTCCAACTGTAACGAAATACGACTTATGGGAAACCGTAGCACGCTCGCCCACAGTCCAAAGGCATGAAAAAAACAGGCGTTTCCATTTGCAGGCGCAGATAAGCGCGACGGGATCCACCAAGACCAACCTCCATACTCCCTTCTCGACGACAATAAGAGAGCCTTCCAACAACGTTCGGGTCGGCTGGCACTTAGGGCGGACCAATCAGCATGATTGGAAAACCAGCCTTCTTGACGGAATCGGTTTATAGCACAGACCACCCCTTTGATGCCCACACATTCTCTAAATAAGCCTCGGTCCTCCTTCAGCCATTGGCGACAAGAAACTGTGACGATGCACCGCTAGGGGACCCGATCGCTGCGCTCGGACCAACAGGGGACACATACCCCACATTATCTGATAAACTCTCTAGGGAGCTTTCTCAGGTAACACAATGGAAAATCTAAACGTTGCAGACAATGAAACTTTTTTGCCGGTGAATATAACTCCCTTTTCTAACTTAACCGAAAATGAGGAGAACATCACGCAAGCTTCTAACAGGTTTTCCGAAGACATTGTCAGCGCTGGATTACAAGTCACCAGTGATCCGATATCACTGATGACCAGCGCTTTGAAAAATACCGCCCCAGTGCACTTTCTTGGAGATCACCCTCCTGTCACCTATGCCACCGACAAACTTGTTGTTGCGTTTTGGGACTCTCCGCTAAGCCACGGTATCAATGTATTTGTGGGGATAGTTTTTTGCTTTACGATGCTCGGCTTGGGCTGCACCGTTGAAATCAGCCAGCTCGGGGAACACATCCGCAGGCCTATCGGAGTGCTGTTGGCTCTTGTGTGCCAGTTCGCCATCATGCCCCTGGTGGCGTTCCTCTTGGCCCTAGCCTTTTCACTGGACGATGTAGCAGCTATCGCAGTGCTACTGTGTGGTTGCTGCCCCGGCGGGAACCTGTCCAACATTTTGACTCTCCTGGTTAACGGAGAGATGAACTTGAGGTAAGCGCGCGACTACCCGCCTACCTCGCGCTCAAGTCGGACAGTTCCAAAATCAAATTTGGACTATGATTGCAAAATATATTTAATCAAATTGATCTATACGGTTTTAAATTACCCCGCGTTATGAATTAAGTAAAGTCGATGAATGAGTTTTTATTTAAACGACTTCATACATGACATCTTGGTTTGAGAATATTTTGAGAAAAACATATAGATGCGCATTTAAACAAATTTATTTCAGTTCAATTCATGTATTTCAGTAAAAACAGAACTGTTTATTTACAAATAACTCAATTAACAATGTAGTATCTTTAAATATCTAATATATATATCAATAATACGTATTTAAAACAAGAGAAATCAGAGAGAAATCAAGAAATATTTCGTGTTTTAAGAATTGGAACACTTCTTTAGAGCCATCGCAGTAACTATACAAACGATAACGGGTCCCCTTTCTGTCCTCCAGCGTCATCATGACCATTTCTTCCACCCTGCTGGCGCTGGTGCTCATGCCGCTCTGCCTGTGGTTGTACAGCCGCGCCTGGATCAACACCCCAGTTGTGAACCTCTTGCCTTTTGGAGCGATCATCCTTACTCTGTGCAGCACGTTAATCCCCATCAGTTGTGGCGTGGCTCTCAGATACCGCTACACACGGATCGCTGACATAATCTTAAAGGTAATTCTACAAACGCTCCCAAAGCCCATTCGGCAACTCTCCGTTCATTACTAAAACGCCCATATAGCATGTAGATCCGAGTAGTTTATCTTAATACCTTAGGAAATCGAATGATGCAACCTAAACACAATATTGACGCAAACCATTACAATAAAAAAATAACAAAATGTTCACAGAAACGCTAATACGGTTCGAGTCATTTAAATATTTGTAAGATACGTTCTGTTTAATTACGTGAATCATGATAATGTCAGCAACAAAATTTGCGCATTAGAGGCGTTACTAGAATTTCTAGACTTAAACGCCTTTCTCGATAACGCTGGTGATTTGTTGTATCCCAATTCAAGCCATTCATTGTCAAAGGCTACAATGTGCGTATAAACGGGCAGGGGTATCTCAGTTATAACGGGCTCAAAAAACAAATAAAAACATTATTGTTAATGGCATTATTATTTAACAAAAGATCTGTCATATGATACTGAAAACAATATTTTAATTAAATAATGGTTTGGTTGTTGTATGAAAAAAAGTACAATAATTCTTTATTTTAAAAAATGGAGGAAATTCAGCTGTATCACTTCCAAAACGGGGATCCAGAAAGTCCACAAAGTCAACATCAAAAATTACAATGTGTTCCATTGAATAATAATAAAAAAAACCTAGAATATGAGCCAACTGTTTACCCTATTCTTCCACAAGTCAGTGTTACACTGTTTACTGGATATATTGCAGGTTTTTTTTTTAGCTGGGCCCTGAACCACCTGATTGAAGTAATTGCCTTGAGTGAATTTCATTTAACTACATGTCTGAGCCCTTAATGGTGTAATGAAGGCTGGAAAAGTTTCTGGACTCTGGCCTCTTAGATGACAATTGAATCTGCGTGATGTAGAGAGTCCATATCTGGACTTCTAAATATAGATGAGCACACTAAAGACTGATTCATGGCAGTAATACTATAGCAACTCCCCCCACTAGTTCACACTAGTTACGCACCCTGCAATTTCAACCAAAGTTGCTCTTTTCGGAGATGAATTATTGGAAAAAAATATAATGCTTTATATTATGAGTAAATACTATTCTATTTTATACTATTTGGTATCTCTTGTTAATTATTAAAAAAAATTCTTTCAAAAATCCATTCTCAGATTCTTAAAATTGCAATGACCAGTATGTTAGACAATTTAACCTCCTCCTCCAGAAACTGCAAAGAGGCAGACCCCCCAGGAGGGGTCAGTGTAGGGTTAGGGTTAAGCTGCTCCTGCCAATTATCTACTGGCACACTTTAATAGAGCACGGCCTAACAAAAGCACAAAATGGAGGGTGGGCGGCTTAGTCGATATGTGTCAGGGGCAATCCGGAACAAAGTGGTAAGGCAAACACAAGGTCAGTGACCCCCACAGAGTGACGTCACACACCGCATAAATCTAAGCAATGCAAGTCAGCATCACTACCATTAACGATGACATGATTTAATTACAGTAGCTCATGTGGGGGCTGGCTGATGAATTTGTCCACAGGATTTATTGCATCCTCTACCACTGTCATACATAAATGTCTAGGTTACACTTGAGTTCTTTTAGTTTAATTCTACAAATATGCCACATGTATAAAAGAACATCGACAAAAACGTAATGCAAGTACGGAGTCACAGTATCCTTTGGCAGAAGCACCACTAGGATCTAGAGACATCTGGGACATAGTTACAGATGCAAATGTCAGGGCCAATGAATCAAGCTCTCTTTGTCAAATGGGATCTTGGTGTTAACTCAACCTTAGCCCACAATTTCACTTGAAATGGTACTCTAATTTTTACTTCATTTCACAAAGCATACCGAGGTCTACACGAAAGAATATCAGTCGCAACTAAGTGTAGTTTAGTCAATTTGACTCAGTATAAGGAAAATGCAATCACCTAATACAATGGTAAAACCCTATGTAGCACATATCCCTACCAGAATCACTAACAATGCAAACTTACCTTAAGTAATAATAATAATAAAAAACCCTTCTGTGTCCTTTTAACCTTGACTACATGCCAACCACTAAACATCTAGAGTTTAAGCAACACCTTCATAGCCTCCTTCTATAGGTGGTGGGCTCACCAAATTCACTACTGAAACCCACTGTGAAAATGATCAGGTTTTGCCAGTATTATTGCTTGCCAATGGATGTGAAGTATCTAAACAAGTGAATACTCATGTGATCTGATGTGCATATTGTGTTTTGGACAGATCTCACTGTGGTCCTTGCTGGTGACCCTGGTGATGCTGTTCTTCATGACGGGTGCCATGCTGGGCCCTGAGCTTATATCTAAGATTCCACCCTCTGTGTACCTGGTGGCGGTGCTCATGCCACTTTCTGGCTATGCGGGAGGCTATGGCCTGGCTGCGCTGCTCGACCTACCTCCTAACAGCCGCCGGACTGTCTCCCTGGAAACGGGCTGCCAGAATGTACAGCTCTGTACTGCCATCCTCAAACTGGCCTTTCCGCCTGACCTGATGGGCGGAATGTACATGTTCCCACTCCTCTACGCGCTCTTCCAGGCAGCCGAAGCTGCCGTCTTCATACTGGTCTACAGGATTTACCGGAGAGAAGTCCTTCACAAACAAGAATTTCCGGAGGATGGCGATGATACGAACATCACATATAAGACACTGAGAGAAGAGGAAAATGGTTTTGATACTGCTTATGGAGCAGTGACAGTGAGCGACCCAAATTCTATCATGATGGAACCCCAGCCAACCCCGGCTGAGGTTTAACATCAATCACACCAATAACATCACTAGCATCTTTTGAGCACATATGGAGTCAACATGTACATTGCTGTTGTATAACCCACAATGCCCATGCATACATTTACCATTTGCATGGCAAAAGATGCGTTTATTAGCATAATGCCCATAGGAACATCAGCTTTGTGATGAATGGTATAAAAGTAACGGCTGGAATATTATTATTAAGAAAGTGCTGCAGCCATATTATTTCAACAGTCATCCCTCTTACGGTGCACCAGTAACTTCCAGTATTCATAATTTTCTACGAATGGGCATAAAGCAAATTAAGTAATATTTGTTGAAATGTATATTCAAAAAATGTATATTTAAACTAGCCTCAACTATCATAAGGTTATATTTTGAAAAACAAACAATGTGAAGGTGAACAAACATGCTTGAAGTTGTGTGTAAAAACTGGCTGCTGGGTGTGGAAGCTGGCATCACTAAAGTGTAAGGAAAGTTCTGTATTCATACAGATCACAATTGGTCTGAGACTGTGGTGATTTACTGTGACACCCAGCGGACTCTGGATTCATAAGCCACCAATGGTAAGCTCTGCTGAGCAGAGCATAGAGAGTGTTGGACAGCCAGCATCCAGGACAAATGCAGAACTTACGTTTTGATTTCTCAGGGCCACATCGGCTGTGTCCCACTGACCTTCAAATGTCAGACAGCAAAATCCTCAACAAATCCAAATATTTGTGTAACATGCATTAACATATAATTTAATAAACATACATTAAAAACAACGTTCGCTGCCATCTACTGTGTTTCTCATTAACTACATCACAGCAGTATGACAAAAGCCTGGACCTGGACACCTAATCCTGGACCTCTTAGTCTGACCGAGATGTATCAAAAAACAAACCTAAACAGTAACATTAGCTGAACCCTGTACCATATCGATACATTGTTAGTGAACACATTTAAATTACAAATTGTACATAAAGAACCGTAAATTCCGACTGACCTCCAAACGCTTGCGTCTCGGGGCATGTGGTAACAAGCCTAATCAGCATAGGAAATGAAGGACACCGGGGAATTAAAAGTAATCGACGGCCCTGGCCTATTTAAATTGGTAAAGCCACACACTTAGGTTGGCTTAGCATTATGGCTACATATGGTGACGAGTCACTAGACAGCTACCTGTACTCAGCGTATAATCCATACGCTTGCCGCTTCCTCAATGCCAAGCCGAAAGGCGGCGGCTGGCGGCACAAGAGTTATTTGGCGAGCTATGGCGACGGCGAAACTTATTTTGACAATCACCAAAGAGCGCAGCTTAAGTCCATATTGTCCCAAATCAACCCCAACCTCACCCCCCGGCTAAGAAAGGCCAACACTAAAGATGTCGGGGTCCAAGTGAACCCTAAAACGGACGCCTCCGTTCAGTGCTCCCTGGGGCCCCGGACTCTGCTGGCTCGGAGGCGGGAGACATTTCGGAAACGGAGGCAGGACGCCGAGGCGCCCGGAAGCCCGGTGAGCACCGTGCGCTATCCGCGCACCTTGGCCGTGTACTCCCCCATCGCTTCTAGGAGGCTGACCTCTTTCCTGGAGAATGAAGCAGAGCAGGTGCGGGCCGAGGAGCAGTCTGGAAGTGCGGAGAGGGACGAGGACCAGGAGAGCGAGAAAAACGAGGTGGAAGCCGAAGCCGAGAAAGCGAGCGAAGAAATATCGGACGACCAGCTCCGCCAGCAGCAAGACGCCTGCGAGAAAACCGAGGACTCCTCCAAAGCCGAGGAAGCCCCAAAGAACCAAGATGGCGCCCAGTCAAAGGCGCGCGTAAGATTCCAGGTGACTCTGTCATAACGCAAATAATCCCTAAGTGTGGAAGCTGATCTCTGCGGGTGTAGCGCAGCTTTCAGATTTAAGCACTTAAATAAAATACTAAGCTCAATGTGGCAGTCATTGTAATGCTACTCTATACTCTGAAGTTCTTAGAACAGAAGTACGGCTATTATCACTGCAAAGATTGCAACCTGCGATGGGAGAGCGCATACGTCTGGTGTGTGCAGGGCACCAACAAGGTATGGGTAAAAACGACCGTAAAATGTTAAAGTAGCCAGTCGGTTGTGTAAACTCCTCAGAATAGCCTAGCGTTTTTCCAGGTCTACTTCAAGCAGTTCTGTAGAACATGCCAGAAGCCTTACAATCCGTACCGCGTGGAGGATATCACTTGTCAGGTAGAGTGCATTGTCCTCCGATAGTTGAACAGAAGTAATTGATTTTATAACAACGATAGGGCGACTCGTTGCCTCATGCTTTAACCCCTCCCGACAGAATTGCAAGCGGGCGCGCTGCACATGCCCGGTAACGCCGCGTCACGTGGACCCCAAACGCCCGCATCGCCAGGACCTGTGCGGCCGCTGCAAGGGCAAGCGCCTTTCCTGCGACAGCACGTTCAGCTTCAAATACATTATCTAACATGTTTCCTGCAGTCCTGGTTGCAGCTGTGTTTCAGCAAATGGTGCTTATCTGTCCTCAACCTAAATGAGATGTAAAATAAATGGAACAGCATTGATTCATTGCATCACGTGTCCAGTGCTGTTTTGAAATAGCTTTAGTTCGGTCAACTTGCCACATTCTGGGTAAGTGGCATTACCAAGGGACAAGTCAGCAATATGAAAAGGCTGGATTCATTACCAGTGATTTTACATTTGGTTTGGTGGGTGGCTGTTACTGGCATTTGCTTTTGATTGTTGAACAGCAGTTTAAATTCAGGGGCTGTACTGAAAGACCAGATGCATCAAGGCTGTCCCATTTGAAGGCTCCTTCAAATGGGGTCTAAAATGACCTTTTGTAAAGTTGTGAAGGACATACCTCTTGGATCCTTAATGGCCCAAGATTCAATGTGTTGACCTTCTTGGGGAGGGGAATAAAGGTAGACTCAAAGTATAGAACTGTACACCCATCATGGCTCCCAAGCTCATTTCAGTATTCATGAGCAAAAAATGCTCAGGCTGTCAAGCCAGGTGCACTGGCCCATCCTGAAAGCTGATTGGCCTCTGTGTCCCCTCCCCTGTCACTGATTCAGAACAAAGGTTAGCCTACTTTAAAAGTGCCCCTGGCTGGGTTGGTCCACCTAGTGAATTTCACTGGATAATGTGAGTTATACACTGCCTAAGGCATACACTAAAGTGGTTCCCCATCAGAATTCTCATTATACAAATTGAATTCCAGGAACTATACATGTAAATAAGATCATTTAAAACCCAAAAATGTCCCCAATATGACATTTCCTAGTTAAGATTTCCAGGTCTTTGGAAAATTTCAGCCAAATTCCCTGATGAAGATGGACTGTGGTCTCAAGATTTAAGCACTGCATTTACACACACACACACCCCCCCCCTTTAAAAAAAGCCACCATAACAGGAACAACAGTACAACTGGCTGATGCTGATTTAAATGGATCTTTAATAAACATTTCAAATGAATTAAATACCTTTTAAAATAAATAACAGCGGAGAGGCCACAGCAGAGCTAGCCCCCATGTGGGAGCAGAGTGAGAGTATGTGCAGGTCAGAGCTCCTCCACATCGCCCACTCCCAGGCGTGATACCCAGCAGCCTGCCAGGCCTCACATGTGGGCACACACGTGGCTCACAGCTGGAGAGCAGACCGCTGGACAGAAGGTGCTAACAAGTCAGAGCCGCTCTGCTCTCCGAACGTCCCTCCACGCAGTCAGAAGCCAGAGGGTTAAGCAGAACACATACATGTGGTCAGGCTTTATCTATGAAGGCTGGTATGAGGAAAAAAGTGTAATGCACCTCTAAATAAAAACTATTTTCCCAGTAAATAATATACCCATTAAATAATTAAGAACAGCATTCAAAAGTACCAAACAGCCAACAGAAGAGTTCCCTGTAAGGGCCGAGTACAGTGATCATTTTAATGTGCCGTGACACAGGTTTTTTAATATAGTTCATGTCCCTGCGCTTTGGCAGAAAGCACAGTGCCTTTCGAAAGCACAGCAGAGCTAACATGGATGGACGCGGGCTACAGTTTCTTTGCAGAACACAGTGCTGCGACGCGCCATCAGTAACCCCCCCCCCAGGTCAAGCAGAACCAACATGAAGATCACAGTGAAGTGGAGGAATGCATAATGTCCAGGCAGGCCCAGGCATCTTTATCCCAGTTCCAAGGAACGTGAGAATTCCACACCTTCCTCATCCTTGGTGCAGGCTGGCCGCCAGGCAAGCGTTCAGAGGCACGGTCGACGAGTACGGGCATCCTGACCGCCCTCCACGTGGACCGTGACCACAGCCAAACAAGGGTTGGTTGTGACATGTTGATGTGGGAAAAAAAATTATGACGATGGAGCAGTTTGGTTAGCAATAATTCCATCTGGTCCCTCCCCCAAAAACGCTTTATACACCTATTCTGGAATAACAGTGCATTGCACAAATATACAAGAAAAAAAAAAAACTGGTTTTACACTATACATTTCTAAAATATATACAGAGTAAAATAAGTTACCATCGTTTTATAATGAGCCAGTTTGCACTTAGCTTGTGCATAAATCTGAGTTTATGGGTGCTTATGTGTCTGTACACGCACACACACCCACATACACACCTCTCTAAAGGCAACTACCGTTTTGGTTACCTACAATCAGATTTCATTAGAGAAAACTCCAAGCGAGGAAGTAGCCCGACCCCTAGAGGTGGCTGATAGGAATAACATGGGGGGGCACTCAGGAAACATTCACAAACTAGGTTTAGCTGATTAAAAAATAAAAATTTCTCCAAAAAAATACTCTTGCAGTGCGATCTCTTCCAAGCATGCATTTGAAAGCTCTTCGGGTTATCAGTCCTTGAAGCAGAGATATCTCCATTATGCCAGCCCCCTGTATTCTAGGGCATAACCGTAGCCGCCCAGTGATCCTGGAAGCCTTGAGGGTCATTCCGCCAAGAGTCCTCTAGCAGGCGCTATCATCCATCTGCTTCCACGCCATAAGGTCACCTCGAAGCATTATTGCGGCTGAACATAGCGTCGGCTTATTGTGAGGAGGAGACTAGCTTATACATATATACATAGGTACACCCACACACGCAAACACCCCCTGCAAACACCCACGCACAACAGATTCCCGGAAGTCCTTTAGCCCTTAGACATCTTGCGGGTCTGGTGGCCCAGCTGACTCAGAAGCCGACGCTGATGGAGGAGCTCTGGGCCAAGCGCAGCGACTCACGGATTTGCAGGTTAAGCTCTGTGAGCAGGCCGCTGGCCTGGGACAGGTCTCGGCTGGGCCCCACCACTGCCAGGCAGCCCGTCTGGCCCAGGCTCTGGTGCCGGAAGTAGATGTGTAGCAGCGTCTGGACCGCGTCGTCTGTGTCGCTGCCGAAGATGTCACTGGGCCATTGAGACCTGCCCACAGATTGGCAACAGATTAAAAGATTTTTCAGTTTCAGATAAAAAGCACCGATACAAAGTGCAAACTGCCAACTCCAAATGATTTTGTACCAGAGTAGGATTAGTCAGATAAAAACAGCATCACTCGCCGATTACCTGAAGGTTTTGACTTGCGCAAGTGCAACGCTGAAGTCCCGCCCCCTCAGGGACTCGATTAGGGAGTGGATGGCATTCTCAGTGTCAGCCTGAGCCATCTCAGGCACATTAACTTCCTCCTGCCCATCTCCCAGAGACTCAGCCTCCTTAAGACAGCTCTCTAAGAGAGCCAACTCCTCAGACATATTTGTTACCTGGAGGAGAACAACATGGACTTGGTAACTTACAGAAATGGCATGCTGTACACAAGGAGGATGGAAGGAAGGCAACAAGCCAGACAGAGAAAAAGCATGTGACAGACAGACGGCCAGGCAAAGACAGGTAGCCAGACAGCCAGCCAGACAACATTTGACCGTCTCTACAAATCCAGCTTTCATGGAGCAACTCCACCCCAGAGTACGTGTGTATAAGACCTCCATGTGCAGACTGACCCGGACCAACACCCCTCGCCTGCTTACCTCAGCCTCCCTCTTGATGGTGTCCACTCGGCTGATGAGCTTG